GCCATCAAAATCGATCCAGGACGAAGAACTGCGCTGCCGGGGTGCCGGAATCGCCCCGAACGGCCGCGGGAGGCCCGCGTTATGGCCCGAAAGCCGACCGAGGGTCGAGGGCTGGTTGAGACAAGGGTCGCCTTTTTGGCCCTCGGGGGCCCCCCGCCGCCGCGGCCGGACGCGGCTCGGGAAACTGGTGCGTTTGGACCCCGGGAGGAGTCCGGGGACCAATTTTGAACGGATTTTGTGCTGGCGTTGTCTCACCGCCGCTGTCTCAACTGGCTCTCCTCCGAGATAACCGACGCCACAATGTGGAAGATGGGCGCCTGTGGTGGATTCCCATCGGTCGGGGGGGACCTCCGAAACGAATATTCCTCGCGACTTGGAATCAAACGTGGCAACTGGATCGCCAGACGATCTTATGTGAAATATTGCTGCTCCTCTAAAATCAAAGCAAGCCTGGCGACAGGAAGACCAGAAACGGGATCCACCCATCAGCCGTCGCTGAAGCCGTCTCGGCAGGCCGAAAGCTGGCGGGCGGACTTCGAGACGGCCACAGCAGACTTCGATGCGTGTGGACGGCGGGGTGTCTCCCAACATGGTGCCCCCCAGGAGGTGGAGGAGGATGAGGACGACGAGAAGGAGGGGGGGAGGAGGACTGCCAAGTACGCAATAGGCTCAAAGCTCTAAGGGTACCCAAACCCATGCTTAAGGATGAGGCAACCATCATAATGGCTACATGGGGTGGCTGCAATTTTAAAGACCGCCCACTGCCCAATGCAACATGTCCCTGCAAGAAACGGCTAATGCTGCACGCTTCCGAGGACAGGCCAGGGGGCGGGGAGGAGGAGGAGGAGGAGGAGGAGGAGGAGGAGGAGGAGGAGGAGGAGGAATAGGAGGGGGAGAGGGAGAGGAAGAGGGAGAGGAGGGAGTAGATCAGTCGAGGGGGGAGGAGGGAGGAGAGCAAGGATAATTCCCCAAGGAAGCACGTCAGTGACCACAATCAGGAGCGCCCCCAAGCCGACGCCAGGGAAGGCGCCGAGGAGAGCGTTCTCGCCGCCGATGCGGTCTGCGAGCAGGCCGCCCAGGAACGCCCGGGTGAGGCACTGCCCCTCGGAGTAAAGGGCGGTGAGCAGACCCGCAACGATGTCCTATCGGCCGCCAATGACGGGGTCGTCGTCGTCGTCGTCGTTGTTCGTCGTTTTCGGCGTCTGGGGGCCGTCTTCGGGCTCCAGGAGAATCAGACACGGATCGGGGATGAAAAGCTGCGCTCCAGGGGTGCCAGAGTCGTCCCGAACGGCCGCCGGAGGCCCGAGGTCATGGTCCGAAGACCGACCGAGGGGAGGCCGTAGAGGCGAACACTCGGGCCCACCTCGGTCACTTCTGTACCTTCGAGCGCTTGCTTTGAGCACTGTGCATCCTTCTTGGGGAGGCCGGGCGTTCGAGCACTCTTTCCTTCGAAGACTCCGGCTCGAGCCCCCGGAAGGTCCGCGCGCGGCCCCCCAGCCCGAGGGACGAGCCCTGAGGTCCGGCGCGAGAGCCCCGGCAAAAGGCGGAGCACAAAGGCCCGTCCGAGATCGCAGAAATATCGAGAGTCTTCTCTCTCGATCAAAAAAGCCCTCTTGACCGGTTTTCTCTGGCTCGCGGTGCAAACCAAAACACCTGTAGAGAATCCTGGCCGGTACTTACACACCTCCGTCTTAGCATAGAAAGCCCTGTCCTCGAAGCCGTGGTACTCCATCCAAAAGGTGGCGAGCCAGGTGGTTAGGGCCAAATATCCTTAGTCCCTGGCTGATCGATCACGTCGGTCACAGTGGACGGTCACTGCCAGCCCGATCGCGCGACCTGAATCCACCTCGGTGATCGACCACGCCGTTTGGTCGAGCAAAACACCAAAGCAGATCATTACGAAAGGTCGCATGACATACTGAGCGAGAGGCCACCGTAATTCAAAAAATCCACACGTACCCCTCGAGGCCACCGTGCTGTGAGGAGAACGAGTGGTACGAAACGTGCAGATACACTCGGTGTTGAGCGCAACGTCTCGCCGATTTCGCAAGACTCTCATCAATCCAACCTTTTCTCTTCACCCCTGGCTTTTCTTTGTTTGATCTGTCCTCGCCGAAGCCTTTCGTCATAACCACTTAGCTACCTCATCAAACACGGGCAGATCGACCCTTCCAAGAGATCTAGTTGATGACTCCCAGTGGAAACCGGGAGCCTTCGCAAGGAGCCCATGCAGGCAAAACCCTTCCCATGGATTTAGCCGAGGCCCTAGCGAATGCGCCGCGGACGCACCTGGATTAGAGGTGAGTGGGGAGGAAGAGTGGCGGGATGAAGGAAGAGGGAGAAGAGGGGGACAAAGAGAGGGGGAGGGAGGAAGAAGGCAGGTGGGTGGAGGGATAGAAGGGGGGAGGGAGGCAGGAAGGTGGTGGTGGAGGAGGGAGGGAGAAGGAAGGCATGTGCCGGACTATGTCTGAGCCAGCGGCGGAGGAGAAGAGGGGGAGGAGAACAATGAAAAGGCGGACGAAGAGGAGGAGGAAAAGGAGGAGGGGGAAGAGCAGCGGTTGGAGAAAGACGAAGAGGAGGAGGAGGCGGAGGAGGAGGAGGGTCACCGTAGGCCCGAAAGCATACCGAAGAGAAGACGAGGAGGAGCAAGGAGCTTCGCCATTAGGCCAGGGCTTCACCGGCGCGCCGCCAAGACGGGCGGACACAGCGGATCGGGCGGGCAGACCCCCAGCTGGGCGGTCGGGACGCGTCGGATCGGGCGGGCCACGTTTCGGGCGGGCGGGCCCTGGTCGGGTCGGGCCGGGCGGAGGGACCCCGAGCCGGGCGGCGGGCGGGCGGGCCCTGACTCGGACGGCAGGGTCTGGCCGGGCGGACCCTCAGTCGAGCGCTCGGGTCAGGATGGGATCCTGAGTCGGGCGGACGGGTCGTGCCGGACCCTGAGCCAGGCGGTCGGGTGAGCCTGGGTCGGGCGGGTGGACCCTGGATACGTCGGGCGGTCGGACCCTGAATCGCGCGGTCCGGTCGGGTCGGGCTGTCGGATCCTTAGCCGGGCGGAGGGGTCGGGTCGGGCGGACCCTAAGACGGGCGGTCGGGTCGGGCAGGCCGGACCCGAATTATCACCCGCCCGCCCGACCCGACACAACACTCAAGCGGTGTCCTATAGAACCTTCCTGGAGATCCAAGAAACTCCCTCCTTTCCTCCTACTCATCTTCACCCTGAATCTGGTCCCCCGCCTCTCTTCCAAAGGTCCCGCAGCCCCCAGCCACCCACTGACTCTTTCGGGGACACGCCAGGCCCACCTCCGCAGCCCCCGGCGAATCCGGGGGGTTGCTCCTCGCGTTATGTCAGGGCGTGCTGCAGCGAAGCGCTGTGAATACAAGGTGACGAGAGCCCAGGTCTTGACGTTGCAGGCTGCCATCTTGAGGCTCTGCATCGCGGAGCCTTTGGGAAACATCTGCTGGCCGTAGATATCCCTGGCGATCTGCTCAGCCTCCTGGGGCTGAGTGCCCTGCCGCCTCAGCTGGAAGTACCAGGCGTTGTGGCCGAAGAAGAAATAGGCCGCGGTGCCGAGGCCCAGTAGGCCGAGCCACAATATGTACGTCTTGGGCATGCCGATGCCCCGGATCGCAAAGGGCATCCCCAGAGCCATCATGCCCGGCATGAGGTTGCCTATGCCGCCGTACAAGCCCAGCACGCTGCCCTGGCTCTCGGGCGGGTACCAATAGGAGCACTGGCCCGCGCCGACGGAGAAGACAGCGCCCCCGAAGCCCGTCAGGACGCCGCAAAAGAGCAGCATGGAGTAGACGCCGCCCATGTGCTGCAGCTCCTCTTCGGAGCGATTGAGCAGGACACACAAACCCATCAGCCCTAGCATGGACACACACAAGAGGAACACCATCGGCTTCTTTCCACCGTTCTCGTCCACTGAGGCCCCGAAGGGCACGCGCAGCAGCGATGCCGACAAGGAGGGCATTGCGATGAGGAGTGCCATCTCCGATGGCTGCAGGCCCAACACATCCTTCAGCTTCTTCGCGACAGGTGCGAAGAGTCCGATGCCTCCGATGCCAATAAAGCATCCGAGGGTTGCCGCGGCGACTGCCTGGCCTGGTGTTCCCTTCGGCTTCTCGTAATCGCTGGTCATTGCGAGTGGCGGCAAATGCGCAGACTCAATAGGTCCAGCCGTGGAGGAAATCTGGCTTGAGCCTGAAATGCTGCATATCGTCCCATCTCGACTTAGTTCGGAAAACTCGCTGTCAGCTAGAGCAATCATCCTCATCCTCGTGATGGCACGTGATCCTCTCACCGGCAAGCGTTCCATTAGCAGCGTTGCAATGCTATGCTGTATGCTTCGCAATGCTACACGATGTTCTACGCGATGCGATGCTATGCTAGGAAATTCGCGCCATGCTACGCAGCGCTGTGCTACTCTATAACACGACATGCGTAGCTACGGTCTGATATATGTGTTGCAATACAATGTACGATGCCGTGTCATGTTACGCGATATGCATTGCAATGCTATGTTGTGCTATGCAATGCTATGATGTGGGCGGGGACACACTTTTGTTTCCTGTGACGTTTTTTTTTGCCTGCGGGGGGGGGACACTTTTTTGTTTTCCTTTGGCGCTGTTTTTTTGCCCGCGGGGCGTGGCGGGCGCGGGGAGGGGGGGGGGCAGGAAAAAAAAATGCCCCACCTCCCCGGGCCACCCCCCCCCAAAAAAAAAATCGCCCCCCTCACAGGCAGGGGGGCGCCCAGGCCCACAGGAAAAAAAGAGAGCCAGGAAAAAAACATGTTTATTCCCCCCAAACTCCGTTAACTGTCAAGAGAGGAGGGGGCCCTGTTTTGGCGACGACCGCGAGCACAGCCGCAGGCATTCCGCCCTGGAGCTCTCCGACTGACGAAGAGGACTCCAGGGAACACCTCCTTGAAACAAGTTGTGGGGTGGGAGGTGGAAAAGCACAGCTCGAAGCACAGACGGCTGCGGAAGAGGGGAAAGGG